AAAAAGCTTAAAATTAACCAGTTTTCTCCAACAGTTAAAATGATCGGATGCTAACATTGTCTTCTATGATGTGCAACACAAACACCTCTGCTAAAATCTCTGAAGAAGTTGTCTGGGGTTTCATGACCCTAAATGCTACATTGATGTATACCAACAATACTAAAAATGTATACAGTAATTTAGCACTTTTTTCACATCTCAGTAATAATTAATGGGGATAATGTGCTATATTGTCATTGCTTCATTCGTTATACAAAATATATTTATGGTTTCCTCTGTGGTTTTGGTGTAAATATGACTCGGACATTTCCAGACAGTTTCTGCAAGATTCACCTCTCTCCCTCTGGTCTAAAGACATCAGAGCGGACAAATAGTAGACAGCTGTGCCGTAATTGATGGCCCTGAGGTTAGGTACTTTTTACTGTCTCGGCCAGATAAAAGAGTGGGCCGATATGTCACCCTTGGGGGACTCCTCCATATGAGGTGAGGGAGAAGGGGGCCGTACGGCAGCAAACAGCCTGCCATAAAACTACAGAGTCACGACCACACTTTTAGACTTTTTCCAGTTCCCAGCACTCTTTTATGCAGGAATATAATCTCTTTTCTTCCGGAACAGCTTTATTTTCTGTTGCTTTTAGGCCATCCCTTTTCCAAGTACTAAAAGGCTGCATGTACATGCACATGCACATGAACACGTGTTGACTGGATGGGACTCTTAATTCCCGGCTGCTGGTTTTAAATTTTTTAAACCCTGATTACATCATGATTTGGCCCATAGGCCAACTCCGATAAGCCGGATCATACTTTTATGTAATAGAGAAGAGTTGAGGACATAATTCACACAAGTGCTGTATAAACAAAAAGCACATGGGACAGTGCATATCCCTTCACAATGTTCTTGTTTTCGGTGTAATCCGTGTCTTTCTCAGGAATCGTGGCATAGGTGGATGTGAATAGAGTGTGTGTGTCAGTGTCATGTTTGACTGGTTTTCATGAATATCAAGAACTGCGGGAAAATTATTAACAGACGTTCAGCCTGATATGCTGTGGGTATGTCGCTTTATGTACACAGGTATGAATGTGTGTGTTTTTAAAGGGAATGAGGATGAATAAGGTCTTTCACTGAAATGAAGGAATCACATGCTGTATTTCCAACACACACACACAAACACTATCTATCCTACATAGTCAGTTTAGTGTGTCCCAAACCATAGTATGCTAAAAATAGTTTTTCAGATTTTTTTTTTAAGCTGATATTAACCACAAAATAATGTAACAGGAATGTGCATATCGGGCCTAAAATCAGTGAACATTTATCTTTTTTTAATTAGTTTTGTGTTAAAGGGGCTGGTCTTAAAATTAATTCAAAAGTCTCCTTGTGATCAACTATTTGATGACTTTCTTTTGGATTAAGAAAGCAATTGGTAAATGCCTTATTATGATAAGTTACTATTTTTAAAAGTAATTTCATAAAAAAAAAAAAAAATTCACATCTAACTAAATTTTTGGAATCAAACCATTTTAAATATTACATATATCCATTAACATGCATTTTAAATATTAAATATTTTTATTTATTGGTCAAATTGTGAAATTAAATATATAATAAAAAGTTAATATACAGTGGGTACGGAAAGTATTCAGACCCCCTTAAATTTTTCACTCTTTGTTATATTGCAGCCATTTGCTAAAATCATTTAATAATTTTTAAATAATTTTTAAAAATCACAGTTTGTTTATTTTTAAATAACACTCCTTCAAAATTTAATTTAATTTAATTAATTAATTTATTTATTTTATTTCTCAAATTCTCATTACAAATTGAAAAGTCAAATAGAGGGCTGGTATCTCAGTTTAAAAAATGTCCAAAAATGGTCAGAAATAAATTGATAAAAAATAAATTTTTCAGAATAAATTAAAAGCAGCATAAAAATGTACTTGTAAATGCTTAAACTTTGCGACAGAAAGGCTTGTGGTATTAAAACAAATTCATCGCATGGAATTGCCTAACTATGATCAAACATGCATTCCTTCATTTGTGTAGTACTGTAAGTACAGGTACATCTCAAAAAATTTGAATATCATGAAAAAGGTCAATATTTTTTGTCACTCATTTCAGAAAGTGAAACCCATATAGTATATAGATTCATTACACATAGAGTGAAATATTTCAAGCCTTTATTTCTTGATATTTTGATGATTATGGCTTACAGATAATGAAAACCCAAAATTCAGTGTCTCAGAAAATTAGAATATCACATAAGATCAAAAAAAAAAGGATATTTTAAACAGAAATGTCAGGCTTCTGAAAAGTATGTTCATTTCTATGCACTCAATACTTGGTTGGGCCATCCCTCATGAGTTCATAGGAAACCTGCAACCTATCCTTGCGCCATTTGCGTTCATATCTCCTACAAATTTTTCTGAGCAAACGAATCGAGTCATTCAGCCATGGTTCAGCTTCTGGTTCGAATCGAGTCATTCAGCATGGTCCTTCCACTGAATTTTGGGTTTTCATTATCTGTAAGCCATAATCATCAAAATTTCAAGAAATAAAGGCTTGAAATATTTCACTCTATGTGTAATGAATCTATATAATATATGGGTTTCACTTTCTGAAATGAGTGACAAAAAATATTGACCTTTTTCATGATATTCTAATTTTTTGAGATGTACCTGTATATGGGAACTATTGCAAGTATTGAGATTCAGCCATGTACATGTGTATACACTCCCAGAAACTCTTTCCTTCACTCATCCATTAGAGCAGCAGCACCTCACACCACATATATCACACATTTTCATTTTCTAACCTCCTATTCCTCTTGCCCAGACATTGTTCATGAGAATCTGAAGATGGGTTCAGATGGAGAGAGCGATCAGGCCTCAGGGACGTCCTCGGACGAAGTGCAATCACCCACTGGCGTGTGTCTCCGCAGCAGATCTCACCGGCGCATATCCATGGAGGTAAGACAGACCGCATGTGGCCATAAATTAATCAGCAGCACAAACCTGCCACAAGCTCACTTATTCACAGGAGGAAGCAGAAAGTGTGGCATGGGTGCGTTACCTTGAAAGCTTCAGACTGGGTGATGTGTTACTACTAAGAGCTTTATTTTTGGCCTTGTGTAGGTGGAGGGATTCCTCTGGTGTGTTTTCTCTCTCATCCTCCCCTATTTTCTCCCACGTCCTGTTTGTCGGCTTTTCTCTTCCCCTTCCTCCACGCCGATTCTTGAGAAATCTGGAGGTTTTGTGTAGAGGTCGACCGATAGTAGATTTTACCGATACCGATAGCTAGGTTGGACTACACTGGCCGATACAGATTAATCAACCGATAGTTTTTAAAAAGGATACTAAACGAAAACTAAAATTGTGCTTTACTATTAAAAAAAACAGTACTGAATCATACTTTGTATATGAATAAAAATATTCATTATATATTGATAATTAAAGTTAGTTCATAGTTCATTAACTAATTATAACAAAAGCAAATTCAAAATTATTAATTATTAAAAATGCATTAGTTGAAATTAACGCACTCTAACTAGATGGCCATCTTTAAATATCTACACAAAGGCCATAGCATTGAAATTACATACATATGGATATTGTATGTATACTCTCACACTTTAATTGATTCTATTCTAGAACATGTGATGATTATCTATTCAAAATAACAAAATATGGCAGTCACACACCAGACGCATCGCATTCAGTTCAAGCAGCGTTCTAAAACGCGTTTATTTAATCACCAAACAGGCAAAAGTTCACCTCAAGAATGAACAAAAAAAGCGGCATGGAGTCTGAAGTTCGGTGTTTAAAAAAACAGCAAAACGGAAAGAAAAAGCGCAGTCTATATTATAGCTCTCTATATGAAGCATACAGACTTTATTAGAGCCACAGAAAGACAAACGTTTCACTGAGAAATGCACAATACACAATTTTACACCCTAAGGTGATGTCATAATGTACATTAGCAACGATTTAGGACAAATATAATGTAATTTAATGTAAAACCGTGTGAATGGCGCTCTGTGGCTGAATGAACATGTTTGCTTTCTCACATCACAGCTTTAAATCTGGAACTTTGCTGGATAACAAATGCATTAATGTGACCAGCTGGATATAAACTAATTCAAATATATATGGTAACAATCGTGACATTAAACATTTGGGTCAGACTTGCGTGAGTTTTGGTCACGTTTTAACCATTTTGAGGTGCTGCTAATGTTTGCGTCCTCTCAGCCTCGATAGCAAACATTCTACTGTTCTTTCTCCACTAATGCAGCATCTAGTCAACAAATGAATTACTTAGTAATGCCATGAAAACGTGCACTACAGTATGATGTGTACACACCGTTTCGTTGTCTGTTTTAAATCTGTGCGTCTGAAGTGTCCCGCTCTGTGCAGCGCGCAGTGTCACATGTCAAAACAAACAGCACGTGGCGACAATGATTTGCCTCTAGAGGCCGCTCTCGCTCTCAGACTGTTTGATGACAGCGGAGCTTCTCGGCCACTCCAGCATTGGACGCAACCCGGAAAAACTATAGGCATGGATTTTTGCCGATAGATCCAGCAATCAACTATCGGTGCCGATTAATCAGCAAAACCGATACATCGGTCGACCTTAGTTTTGTGGGCAGGTGCAGATGGTATATAAGAGGAACTTCTGCAGTTCAAGAGCTCTTAGGTGTTAAACATCAATTACCTAGTTTCAGCCACAACCACAACAAATAACAGAACATTTTGTAAATCAAACTGGTTTCTTTTTTGTCAAAATAGTTTGGTTCTATGTCTAGGCTAATATATTACATAGCCCCGCCCACTGTGAAATCTCATTGGTTCAAAATCCCGCTTCTCATAACTACGTATTGGACTTCAAATATGTTCTGATTGACCGTGATTATGATGCGTCATGTGGCATTCTCGTTTCCTGTGAGGACAGAAAAACCACTGGAAACAGGCGTCGCATTTGGTTCGTACAGTGTCTGACTGTGATTTTCGAATCATAAACATCTGTGTCTGTCTAGCAAGGTTGGTCTGCTCTTTGATATTAGTAACTGGCTTTCTGTCTTACCGCACACAAGCATCTGAAAGGGAATGGATTCTATCTTTGTGTTCTTACTCGTTCCATTTCCATTTTCTATTCTTTTCTCTGCAGTACATTGTTAAAAAGAGGGTTTGAGTAACATTGTTAGAGGGTTTTGAAATAGAAAAACAATTTTTTTTTTAATTATCAGAATTAACCTGACTACTTCAAGACATTCACGTCACACTCTTGCTACATAAAGCATTTAAAGCTTCTTATTCTGGGGTTTTAATTGCAAACCTCAGTCCAAGCTAGTTATTTGGGCACGTGTTCCTCACTCTCGCTGTCTCTGGTGTTCTTTTGCCCCCTGCCGTATGAATTGGGTCACTGCAACTATGTACACAGTTTAAAAGCCAATAAATATGTAGATATCATTTAACAATATATAGGTGAATCTCATGAAGAGTTGTCAGGCCACATTTTACTCCTTAAACATTAAGAGAGGAAAAAAGAGAAATTGCGTAAAGAAATTTGTTTAAGGTTATAGTTTACTGTTATGTATTTATCACATTATTTTCAGGGCATTTAAGCTAGTTTTACTACCAAAATCTCATTACTGTAACATGTAATATAAAATATATATATATAAAAATATATATATAATTAATTTATATAATAGTTACATTATAAATAAATAATAATAAATAATAAAATAATGGATCCATTTGAAGTTTGTCATTATAGAATTTGTTATACTTACTTTAATTGGTTTAAAAATATATTACCACGGCTTAGACAGTTAGTTTCTTGTAATAATGCATAATTTACTATTATTACTAAGTATTACAAACGTTTTTTTTGTGTTTTTTTTTGCGTAAATGTTTGAGATTTTTTTTTTATCATTGTTATTTTATTATTTATTTAATTTTTATTATAATTTTTTTTATTGTTATTTTTATTTTTTATTGTTATTTCCTAAATACTCTGTCATGCATCTGGATGTTTTATTTTGTAATTTTCATTATTCTCAAATACATTGATTCTCATTACTGTGACAGTTATGAAAATCGTCTTGTCTAAACACTTTAAATAGTAGCACAAATTGTTTTATTTTGCATTAAAGTAATGAGAATTGTGGGGGTAAATGTGCTTAATTTAAGATTAATGTGCTAATTTTAATGTTATTAAAAATGTCATGATGCAAAATATCATAGTTTTTTCTTTTGATTTTAGTGTGAAATGATTCACTCCTCTTTCAACCTCTACTTGTACACAAGTATTGGACTAATGAGATTATTTCATGCTCCACGCTGCTTTAAAAGTAGCCTATGTGTGGAGAAAAAAAGCCATGCAAGAGAGAAATGTAAATAGAGGAGATTCAAAGCGTGATGGAGGGTTATTTATGGAAGATGCTAATGCTTTGCTTTGAGAATGGCTTTATGAAGTCACGCTTCTTATTTAAAACAAGCACACACACATTTCTCTCAGACGAGACGCGCATACCAAATGAAGTCACCAAGCGTCAGTTATTAATCTGATTCCTACTTTGATAAGAACTGAGCTTATTTTGTCCCTTGCGACTGACTTGTTTGCTTATGTGTGTGTGATTTGATTCTCAGGACCTGAATAAACGCTTGTCTTTGCCTGCTGATATCCGGATTCCTGACGGCTACCTGGAAAAGCTGCAGCTGAGCAGCCCGCCGTTTGACCAACCCCTCAGCCGACGGTCACGTAGAGCCTCGCTGGTGAGTTTGCGTGAATCCAACCCTTCATCATCTTTATCAAAGGTTTAACGACATTAAACGTAGTTTACCTTCTAATGCCGTCATATTTGTCTCATACTTTCTATAAACCACATAAACATGACGCACCTCCTCGTTGAAGTAGCATTTTATCTCAGACACAAATAAATCACGTTTCATAATATACCGTGCATCTCATTTGAGCATGATGGGATATCTACCTAGCAACCATGCTGCATAGCAACACGACTCAACATTAAGTTTCTCTTCTGGCATGAATGGCTGTGGGATCATGGTGTCCAAGATGAATAAATCCCACATTGTGTTGAAACAATAAGGTTTATGTAAATAATTTAATCTGGCAGGGTTAAAACTATGACACGGCTGTCAAACAGCAAGCCATTGTCATGCTGAGAGAATTTGGTTTTAACAATGAGAAAGATAAATGCACTTTATCGTTCAAAAGTATGCAGTCAGTAATAATACTTTTAATTTGCAAAATATGCATTAAATTGATCAAAAGTGACCGGAAGGACATTTATAATGTTACAAAAGATTTATATTTCCATTCAATGCTGTTCTTTTTAACTTTTATTCATCAAAGATGAATAGTTTCTACAAAAATATTAACCAGCACTACTGATTTCAACATTGATAAACAGAAATATTTCCTGAGCAGCAAATCAGCATATGTGAATGATTTCTGAAAGATCATGTGACACTGAAGACTGGAGTAATCATGCTGAAAATTCAGCTTCGACATAACAAAAATTAATACAATTGTAAAATATATTCAAATAGAAAATATTTAAATTTGAATAATATTTCGCAGTATTACTGTTTTACTGTATTTTTGATCAAATAAATGCAGCCTTGGTCAGGAAAGAGGCTTCTCTCAAAAACATAAAAAATTACTGATCACAAACAAATTATTTGCGCTATTCTGTGTTGCTAATACATTGCTAATCCAGGTCCTATTTCACCACAAAATTTGAAGATATATATAAAAAAAAAATCTATTAAAAAATATAATGATTATATCCAATAAAAGAGATAAAAATAAGTTTTCCACAAAAAAAAATTGCAATTCTCACAAATTTCCAAAATGTGTCCATACGGCTTTTGCACTATATTATGAGTGTTCTGAAGCTGTGCAATAACTTTGTGGGCCACGATTGGTTACAAAATGTGATCTAATCGAATGCGATTTGAGAAGCACATAGAATAACTCACACAAAACTATCATATGCCTTTATGAGACTTATAGAAATATAGTGCACAAGCCGAATGGGCAACTTTTAAAGTGCTTTTTTTGTAGGTTCAAAACTCATGGTACATACTTTATTGAATGCAAAAGACAGTTCTTTTGTGCTCCGTGGATGAAAGAAAGTCAAAGGGGTTTGGATTGACATGAGGGTGACTAAAGGACATTTTTAGGGTGAGCTGTTTAAGAGTAAAAGATTACGTCTGCAGAATATTCAGCTCTACTTAATGAGTACACCGTCCACAGCAAGCTTTTCAAAACAAAATGGACTGCTGCAGATAAACCCGGCCCATGGACGAGAAACCCAGCGTGTCGCTACAAACATTGTGTGGTACTCTCAGTTGAGCAGAAAGACACATACCATGTTCTTTGTCTGTTGGCCACATACATGCATGTGAAAAGCCCCCTGCTTTTGCGTCTGAGTTTCTTGGCATCCATTGTTCTTAGCTGTCATCCATCTATGTCGTCCCCACCTCCAACCCTCAATGTGTGTAAAGGAGAGGGGGTTTATGTTGGCATTCTGGTGCCCATGGGAGTCTGAATACTGTGCGTGTGATTAATGGCTTTGTCTGGGAAATGATTTTGGCTGCTGATATCAGAGACAGCGAGCAACACTCCAGACACGTGTTTCTCACTGATAAGGTCTGTTGAACACATGCAGGCCTGTTCAGCATTAACCAGATCGCATTAATGAAGCAGTCTCTCTCCTTCTCTCTTTTTATAGTCAGAAATCGGCTTTGGGAAACTGGAGACCTACATCAAACTGGACAAGTTGGGAGAGGTACGATGAGTCTAGTTCTGACCTTTCATCATTACTTTGCCCGGTCAGAAAAGTGCATTTAAAAGTGCACTAAGTAATTAATAGTTCGGTGGATGATACAACAGTGTTTTTTTTTTTTTTTTACTTTTTTAAAAAACATTTAAACCAATAACATTGCTTAATACTTTTCAGTAATTAATAAATCCATTGAATACATTCCTAGTGTAAAACTTGTGTGACTGTACGTAAGATAAGTACTATTTGTTAAAATAGTATTTTTTATTTAACTTTAAAATGTATTTATTTAACTGATAGCATTGGTTAACAAATTTCAGGAAATTACTGTACATAAGATATTTTATATTTCTTCTTTGTCTTTTTTTATACAGTAGGGAAGTAATATTTATTAATTCATTCATTTGACTTTATTTTGGTTTTTATTTCTTATATTTTTTTCAACCAATAACATTGATTGATACTTGTCAGTAAATTATTAATCCGTTAACTACATCCCTAGTGTATAACTTCGGCAAAAAGCCTTGAGATGAACCGTAAACATTTTCTCAGAACCAAAACACTTGCATTCTGAAATCTAATCATTACTGTAACTGTATTGTAGGGGACGTATGCCACCGTTTTCAAGGGGAGGAGCAAACTGACGGATAACCTGGTAGCTCTGAAAGAGATCCGGTTGGAGCACGAGGAGGGCGCTCCATGCACAGCGATTAGAGAGGGTGAGGAATCTCTCTCTCTGTGTCTCATTCTCTTCATCTCTCCTTAAAGCCCCTTTGGATGCCGAGACACTGATGTTGATATTGCCCTGATCGATCCTGCCGTTTTCTCTCTTTCAGTGTCATTATTGAAGGATTTAAAGCACGCCAACATCGTCACGCTTCATGATATTGTCCACACGGACAAATCCCTGACTCTGGTTTTTGAGTACCTGGTGAGTGAACGTCCCATACTGCTCCTCTGTGTGTCATTCTGTTTCATTTGCTCCCTCCATTTATTTATTTGTTCTCTGATGGCTTCCTGCAGGATAAGGATCTGAAGCAGTACATGGATGATTGTGGAAACATCATGAGCATGCACAACGTTAAGGTCTGTCCCATATCTGTTTGTTTTGCACCAGATGGATTTAAGAAAACATGAACGGTTGGTTTGTTGTTATCAGTGCAATGCAACACATGAAACATTCTGTTTCTGGTCTTCTAACCTGTAGTCCATGTGTGGTTGTAGATTTTCCTGTTCCAGATCTTGAGAGGACTGGCGTACTGCCACAAACGAAAGGTTCTGCACCGGGACCTGAAACCACAGAACCTGCTCATCAATGAAAGGGGTGAACTCAAACTGGCCGACTTTGGTATGTTTAACACTATGCTGTCAAATAAATGATCAAATATGTAGTGTAATATATTTTATATAGTATGTACTTTATTTTTCATCAGTTAGAAATGTATATTATACTAACTGCATTTTGCAATTTGTTATACATATTTTTATATTATGATATTTATATAATTGTATATATATATTATTTAATTGTATATATTTAACTAAGTTTTCATTAAAAATATATTATAATATATTATGCATTTATGTATTTACAAATGTATATATTATGTACTTTGTTTCATTAGTTCATATAATTAATTAATTTTCATCAATTAGAAAAGTATAAACTAACTATTATACATTTCAAATGAATATAATTATATTACATGTATTTAAAAAAATACATATATAAAAAGTTATATTTTATTATTTTGTTATTTTTATATTTTTCAAACATACATTTTATTTGATGTAATTAATTTTTCAATACAAATACATTGTATTATGAATTTATTAATTTACAAATTAATTTGCTTGTATTTTATTCTACATATAAACAGTAAGTGTAATATTTCAAATGCATACAAATTTTAATATATTTTATATACTTTATTTTAATATTATAATATTTTATATTCAAAATATACATTTTATTTTATATTGTATGTAATTTATTTTTCATTAAAAATATATTCATTTATTTTTTGTTGCCAAAAAAAAAGTATATGATTTATTCAATATATATAATTTATATTTTAAGTATAATAAAAACAATTTTTTTGTTTGTGTGTGTTTGTAGGTCTGGCACGAGCCAAGTCTGTTCCCACTAAGACTTACTCTAATGAGGTGGTGACCTTATGGTACAGACCTCCTGATGTACTACTGGGATCCTCAGAGTACTCCACACAGATCGATATGTGGTGAGTGTGTCTGTCGCTGTTTATTTACATTCATCATTTACATTCAGTCCTCTCCTGTATGCTCTGTCTTATCCTGTTTCTGTCTCTCTCTCTGTCTCAGGGGTGTTGGATGTATATTTTATGAAATGGCTGCAGGTCGGCCGCTGTTCCCAGGATCCACCGTTGAAGATGAGCTGCATCTAATCTTCAGATTACTGGGTGAGCAAACACACACACCCACACACACACCCACATGCTCACACTCAGCTCTCCAACTAAATGATTCAATTCAGAGCCTGCATGATGAAACGCACACTTCAACTCCAGACATTACGACATTAAACACACACACACACACACACACACTCTCAGACCAGACGTGTCATGGTGTTCAGACTCAGAAGTGCTTCTCACCTGCTTTAAAAAACAAACTGCAACCATCTGATCAGCCCTTCATCAATCATGCACCCAGGTACCTGCACTCTATCTGTGTGTCTGTGCAGGTGCTGCTTTGCTGTTTCATACAGTGTGTTTGTTATGATCTTGTGTGCTCAGTGATTTTGCGGTGGCTTCCGTGTGTTTGTCTTGCCACACAGAGCAAATGACCATGACCTCAAAGCCTGTGTGTGTGTGTGTGTGTGTGCACGGATGCTGCTGTGGGAAAGCGTGTGTGTGTGTTCTGGTGTGTGTTAGAAAGCCATGTACGTGCCAGTAAAGCAGGATATCCCGTGGAATTTCTGAGGCCGTTTGCTTCCTTCCTTACGTTTGCCAGTCTAATTTGTCAACCTGCCGATGGTCACATCTCTCTCCCTCCCTCCCTTCCCATCTACAGGTTGGATACTGAAGGAATAGAGCTGTTATTGTCCTTTCTAAGGGTAAGAATGTGCCAGAACAATGGATTGCATTAAATACACACAAACAATTATAAGATTATAAATGATTTTCCATTACTTTATCTTGAACACTTTTAATTTCCATTAACCCTTTAAAAGCATCATGATAAATTAAACTACCCTTTATCAATCTCACAAAGCTTTCATCCTTTATTTTTTTATTTTTTCTCCATAGTATGAATCCAAGAAGAGGATCTCTGCAGATGAATCAATGAAACACTCCTACTTCAAGAGTCTGGGCATGCGTGTGTGCACACTGTTAGAGAGTGAGTGTCTTTATACACACACACACACACATCACATAATCGCTCATATGTCCTCATTCTCATGATGTGCTGTGCTTCTGCAGACATATCCATATTTACACTGAAGGAAGTGCAGCTTCAGAGGGACCCCGGTTACAGGAACTCCTCGTACCCAGAGACAGGTGTGTGTGTGTTTGATATGTGATCTGTATTCATATTCAGATGCTCTTATAGTAAGTAGTCAGTCAGTATGGGTCAGTGTCAGTAGTTCTTGGAACAGACACTAGGGGGCAATCTTCATACAGAAAATTGTCTATTTTTAACGAATGAATGAATAAATAAATATTATGTAAAATAAGTCTCAAAATTCTCTCAATAAGTCTCTTATTTTCTCTCAAAATTATTAAAAAAAATTTAAATGTTTTAAATATTTATACTATTTATATTTCTTTAAATAAATTATATATAATGAATATATTTTATGAATAAATATTTTATTGCATTTATTATTTACATTTATAACAAAACTAAATATATATCCTAAAATATATTTTATACATTATAACATTTAAACATTTTTAAATTAATTATTTTTATCTTATCTATTAATATAGACTACATGCACACCTTGTTCTCGCTTCTAATAACTGATAAATATTTATAACTAAATATATATTTGAAATTAAATATGTGATTACATTTATTAATTTTTTTAACAAAATAAATATATATCCTAAAATATATTTTATACATTATAACAGTAAATAAAATATTTTTAATTAGATTACATTTTTTGCATTATTTTGTAACCTCTTACCCCTTGTTCTGTTATCTATTAATAGATTAGTAATACAAAATACAAAATATAGTTTTATATAATTAAATATTTATAAATCAAATTTTATGTCATTTAAATAAAACAAATTGCATTATTTTGTCAGCTTGTACACCATGTTCTCGCCTCTATATAAAACTAATAATATATTTCTTAACCGAATATTTTAAAATGTTCTTTATAAAATATATTTTAAAATAATTTTGTAACCTTGTACACCTTGTTCTCTCCTCCTTTTCACTCTCATCCTTCTGTCTCTCTCCTCACAGGCAACAGCAAGAACAGACGGCAGAGCATGCTGTTTTAAGCTGCGTTCCCTCCCGCTCTTGCCCATCACTCTCACACAAGCACACACACACACACTTGACGGATCAGTTCGACAGCGCTTATTCCGTGACTGTGTTGTATAGACTAACAGATTTAGTCCCCCCCCTCGCTCACAGAGAGAGGGTGATTGTCACGTGTGCATGCGTGGTGAAGGGGATCGGCCGAACCCGCTGTCTCCCCCCCCAGTGTCCCGCCATCCAGCATGCAGCCTTGAGCCAGAACACCCATCGGCCCCTCGTCTGGATGCCCTTTCCCCTTCCCCCGTGTGACGCTTAGGGTGTGCGAAAGTGTGAACGCGTATATATATTTATTGACAGAGGGGTTGTTTTGCTGCTAATTGACTACTGTCTCGATGTAACTTCCTCACTCTTGGGTGACCCTCCCAGTTGTTGCGGACTCATCAGTCCCACGTTTTTGTTTTGTTTAAAAAGAACGATTATAATTCTGTTGAAAAATGTTGATATCGCAGCTGTCTTTGTCGTGGTTTTACAGAGGTGGAATGCCTATACGAGTGTTTTGAATTTGCTTTTGGTTTTCCTGGCATGATGATTGCACTTCAAACCGAGCGATGCTCAAAATATTCATTCCAAAACCTCAAATTTTAACTTATCATTTCAAGAAATTTGTGGATTTGTTCCTCAAAGGCCACGTCAAGCAAACCAGGGACCATCTCGGACCAGGTGGGCTTCAGAAAGACGCAAAACGAGGGTGGGAAAAAAACAAACACTGGACCAGCAGAAACTTTGTGACCTCACCGTTTTAAACTGAGAACCGGACCATCTCTCCTTTTGCATCCATTCAGAGTGATCCTATTGGAACTGAAGTGCTTGTATGTAAGATGTGTTTTTAATTTTTCTTTTACCGTTAGAGCTCCTGAGGCATCATCAAAACCAGTTTCTTCTATTAATAGAGCTCCTCTGTAGCTTCTGAGTGTATGCGACGCTTGTAAAAGAGCGAGAAAGTGAGGTTGTATGTGTGAAAATGGAGATCTGTAACTGTACAGAGAGTCCTTTGCTCCATGCAAGCGATGGCTATGAAGATGAGCTAGTTTCATTAACAGTATTAAGAGGATTTTTTTTAATTTTTTATGTTACATATTGACCCTTCTTTGAATAATGGTATCTTAATGTGGCATGTTGGAGTCCGACTGTCCCACATTTGTGCTTGATTTTATTCAGAAGAGAAAACGATATTGCGTGTATAAAAAGAAAAAAGTAATAGCGAAAAACTTTTTGACAGCAGCATTGGACCAATGTTTCTTTTTCCCAGCATTTATAAACATGAAGAACGCATAAGATATCAGATTTTAGATGACTGTTGTTGTTTTTTTGAACTGACAGATGTTGATTAATATTGTCAAATCGGAGTCGATTGTTTCTGGAGACGCGTGCGTGGGTGTGTGCGTGATTGCGTGTGTGTATACGTGACGCATGGGGTGCGTGTTGTCCTGTAAGCTCCGCCTCCGTGAAACACTGACGCTCGCGGTCCTTTGACTCTTTGTACTGCAGATATTTATTTTTTTTTTTAATGTTACATATTGACCCTTCTTTGAATAATGGTATCTTAATGTGGCATGTTGGAGTCCGACTGTCCCACATTTGTGCTTGATTTTATTCAGAAGAGAAAACGATATTGCGTGTATAAAAAGAAAAAAGTAATAGCGAAAAACTTTTTGACAGCAGCATTGGACCAATGTTTCTTTTTCCCAGCATTTATAAACATGAAGAACGCATAAGATATCAGATTTTAGATGACTGTTGTTGTTTTTTTGAACTGACAGATGTTGATTAATATTGTCAAATCGGAGTCGATTGTTTCTGGAGACGCGTGCGTGGGTGTGTGCGTGATTGCGTGTGTGTATACGTGACGCATGGGGTGCGTGTTGTCCTGTAAGCTCCGCCTCCGTGAAACACTGACGCTCACGGTCCTTTGACTCTTTGTACTGCAGATATTTATTTCTTTTAATCAGTGAAGTAAACATGGTCTGTTTCATACAGCGAACTCTCTGTCGTCTGTTTATTATGTTTGTGTGTCTGTGTGCATTTCTTCCCGAATGCAAAAGAGTCAGAAAGCAAACAGAACATTAAGGTAATGCTACACATACTGAATCACAGTCTTCATATGTTATATATATCTAGTAACTACACAGCAAGAGCTTTGTAGTGTTAAAAAAAAAAAAACATTGAAATGATTGTATCAGGAAACATCGTCTAACAGTAGAATGACCAGGCCAAATAATAGTTCACATCTTAATGGTTAAATATTATCAAGAAATATCCAGTTATTATTTAATGGGATTTATTATTATTATTATTTTGAGGTTAAATACTACCTGGGCATTTCCTTATGTGCAAAATGTATTATTATTATTATTATTATTATTTATAACAATAATAATAATACTTAACATTTTTACTGCTTTAATTTTGACTTTGAGTTTAAATATACCTGCATTTCATTATTATTATTATTAGTAGTAGTATTAATTAATTAATTTATTTATTTAGAGGTTAAATGGACATGTGTCCTTATATGTATATGTATTAGTAGTAGTAGTAGTAGTATTGTTGTTATTTTAATTATGTATAAATGTTTATTTATAATGCTTATTTTATTTTAACCTAATAATGATAAATATAAAGAAGCAAATCAAATTAAGCCTGTAGGGCCGATTTTAGCACTGATTACATTTTCAGGACCTTTTCCCCTAAAAATCTTATTCCCATAATACAATAATGAATTATTTACCTTATTCTTTTATTTTTAAAAATACCATAAATTTAGTACAACAAATACCACCATAAAGTATACTTACAACTGGGCTTCAAAAAAAAAAAAAAACCTGGGCATTTCTTAAGTTTCTGTAAATATCTCCCTAATACACCTCAGTGAGGGGAAAAAAAACCTGTCTTTGTGGTTCACAAAACAAACACGCTCGTAGTCCATCACGGTAGCGCTAGAAGAGGAACTTCCTGTTATGTGAGAGCTGACTATACACACAGACACAGAGTCTTTTTCAGTTATCACCCCCTCCCTTTTTGAACAGGAAGCTGTTTTTCTCCCATATCCAATGCAGAGCGGAAACATCTGTAGCTTATTTCCAAACACTAATGCACACACACACTCATACACCAGTAAATCCATTTCCCGGATTGACTCAAAAGCATCTTTTTTTTCCTGGTATATATTTTACAGGTATAGAAAATCGACACAAAAAGGCCCCAAGAAGAATTGCACTGTGAAAGAAAAAAAGCCAGACATGCCACAAAAGTTTTCCACTGCAGCCAATAACAGCAGGAATGACAGTCATGTGACCAACCAGAAAACTCCCAGTATGGCCGCCAGGGAGGAAGTGAGAGTGGGGGAGTGAGTGTACGTCTGTCTCTGTGTGTGTGTGTGTGTGTGTGTGGTAGTAAAAGTGCACATCACGAACTGTCACAATTCCTGTAAAGGCAGAGCCAAGCAGTCGCCGTGGTTACCTTAATGGTTTCCTGCTGCTAGCGATGTTTACAGTAAAGACAGGACCCTCCCCTCAAAATGCAAGATGAGCATAAATACACGGTTTGCGTTCTGTCTTTTTCGCTCACACACACACATCTCCCTACACACTCACTCTCCCCCGGGCCAGAACAGGAAGTATCCACAGGATTTCCCCTCTCGCTCACATGAAGGCTGAAACAAGACACCAAAAACAAACACGCTCGCAAAACAGACAAGCGAATCACTTTCTAAAGCACACTTGCACGTCAGTGCTAAACAAAATAAAACACATCCTCATTTTCAGATTCCTCTTTTTACAGGTTTGAGAATGTTTTGTGCGTACCTGAAAGAGTGACCCGTGGCCCTGTAGCCTGGCGGGGCTGAGAGGGGCTACGGGACTCAGGCTGCTCCAGAAATGAATGGAGGACAGGAGAGGACTGGGCGTCAACAGCAAACCAGAAGGAGTCTGGAGAGACAGCGAGAGAGGAGTAGAGGAGGTATCGTGAAAGGGGGGAACAGGAACATGAGATTTTATTTGTATTAGTCACTGAAGAACATAGGTATTATTTGTATTAGTCACTGAAGAACATAGGTATTATTTGTATTAGTCACTGAAGTCATAGATCATGAAATCCCAATGTCTTCTTGAAACTTTGGAAAGGCGAATGCGAGTCTCCGCATGTCCAGACACGTCTTTCCGTCGGTTAGCAGGCAATAGCATGTGAAGCCTGTCATGCACAAATAGTCTGAGAACCCCTTTAAAAAAAATTCCCAGATTTTTTCACCTGAACAGTACAAATTTTGAAGCATTAAGGATTTATAGCACAAATGCAATGCCTGTAAGCCATAGGGCAACTGTCCTGGACATAGTTGCCGCTTGTTTTATCTATCCAAGCAGATGGAGCATTTTGCTCAATCTGGCATTATGAAATAACTGTCTGTTGCAGATGTTTCTGTATATTTAAAGCAACAGTTCAGCCCCAATTAAACTTCAGACATGTGCTCAACCTAATGTCATTAAAAATCTGTTTAACTTTCTTTTGTTTACAATTGTCCCAATTTCAAATTTTCAGTGGTGACTAGGCACTGTTGAACTCCAAAAGGCACCATAAAATTAGTCCATACGGCTTGTGCACTATATTTCAAGCTTTCTGACGTCGTACAATGGAACTTAGTCAGGTTAGACGCCATATTGAATTTAAAGAGGCTGTGATGGATAGAATTACAGTCTTTATATGGATTTCGTAATTCTCGCCAACTTTGAGTTTTATTGAGTTTTTGTCTACTGAAAGTTTTTTTCAAAAAGACGTTTCATCAACTGGACAATCGTTATGTTGTTAAATAACAGTACAATCCATTGAACACGCTGTACTTCTATCCCTCAGCCTCGGTTTAATTTCTGTCAAGTATTAATTATTGCGCTACCCTGACTAAGGTCTATAGCAGTGTTTCTCAACCCTGGTCCTGAGCGCCCCCCAACACTGCACATTTTGTATGTCTCTCTTATCTGACACCCATTTCAGGTCCTGGAGTTTTTTTTAATGAGTTGAATCAGGTGTGTTTGATTAGGGAGACACACAAAATGTGCAGTGCTGGGGGGTGCCCAGGACCAGGGTTGAGAAACACTGGTCTGTAGGAACAGGCTGATATTTAAGAAAAAAAGAAAAGCGTCCCCTTGAGAACTTGAACAGCTTAACTTGTCCTTTACTAAAGTATACTTCGGTTTTTACGTGTATGCTAGGCTCGATACATCCACGCATATGCGCCTTGTATTTTTTTGCAGTAATTAATTTGTCCACAAGGTGGCAACACTTCCCAACCCGTTGTTTACAGTCAAAAAAGAAGCAAATGTAACAACAACATTAACTAAGTACTGGCGATGGCAACAACAATAGACACCTGCGATGACGAATGCATTTGAAGGGGTTAACAGATATCGGCAACACTAGTTTAAATGTGTAAAATGTTCGGAGAGAAACAGTGCAGATACTGGACAAGGATGAAACATCTGTGCTCATGCAACCTATCAAACAGAGTATTCATAGTATACACTTGCATTTGCGTCAAAACTAAGTCGTACATCTTTGGAACGACATGAGTGTAAGTAAACAATGTTAAATTTAATTTTTGGGTGATCTATCCCTTTAAGAGAGAAAGCGGGAGAGAAATCTACACAAGCATGTAGCTTCCCATGGGTCATGGACTTTGGATCACCAGGTTGTGGCTATAGGGCAGCATGTGAAATCAATTTCTCGTTCTCGCTCTGTTTTTCTCTGTCCTGTGTCACTTTGCTGTAGTGTGCGAGATTACGGACATATGGCTTTATTTACAGGTCTCTCTTCTCTTGCTTATGCCATTCTGTCTGTCTTTTCCCTCCTCCCGTTTCACTCTACCTCTTTTTTAAAACCCGTCTGCCTGTCACGCATTTCTCCCTACACACCCAGTAAAGACCGAAACGTCTCATAGAATAGCTGTATTACCAGTATAGGTGTGTGTCCTGTCTATTTGTTACCTGTTGAAGGCCTATAAACAGTGCTGGAGAGGATGTTTTTTGAGTTCATTTATAGCTCAGTTCCAAAACCTAGAGAGCAGCCTACAGCTGAATGAAACCTGATCCAAAAGCTCTACAAAGGCAGCAACTAAATAGGGCAAAATTAGCATCTTACTAAGCTACCAACATGATAGTCTACCAAGCATAAAAATACATAGCATTGTACGTTGCATATTGGGATCAAGTAATTTTTTACTTAGACAAAACTGTTGATACTTCTGGTAAATATAAGTACACTTCTAATGTACAAGAAGATCAAATTTGCCTTGTAATTACTAACAAAATCAGGCCAATATTACCTATTTGCTAAAAACACAGCTGCCTTGCTATCTACTGCTTAGATTGACTTCTCACAATTGAATCTAATAGAATGTTGCCAAGCTAACTCATTAGACACAATATCCTAATGAACACAGCATTAAACCATTGTCTAGTGTCATTTTTAGTTGCATTTGAGCAATAATGTTTGATATTAAGTTAAATGTTGGCGTTTTTAAAATTTATTTTAGCTTGTGCCTATGCTTAGCTTAACTTTATCAATTCAATACAGCTTTTCATTAGCATGTTGTTAAGCTAACTACACTGTATTCTAATAGTATAAGATTACATATCTCACAAATGTTATGTAAAATAGTAATTTTTTTTCATTATCAGTCATTTTTGGTATTGAATGAAATGTATTTGACATTTCTTTCTCTTTGACTGAGCTTGTCGCTATGCATTCTGGAGTTATTTGCTATTAGCCAAAAGAAGGCACTATGTTTTGTTCCTATATTTTAGAAAAATCCTTTGCTTTGATGCCTTAAAATGCTGTCTAGATAGGCAGCTCATTAGGTTTTGGAACGTGTATATGTGACATAAAAATAAATGTACATATGACATAGTTTGGTACCTGTGCAGTGAAAAAGGCTGGTGTAAGTGACCCTGAGGGCAGTGCTGGGCTGTTGAGGGCGATGGAGCCCAAGTCACTTCCTGAAAGCAGTATGGAAGGGGCGGAGATTTCCAGCCCTTTGGGTTTCCGAGCTTTGGGAGGCAGTCCGTTGCTACCGGTCCTCCTCTCGGGGGGCGTGGCCCGATTCTGGGCTCGCTCCCTGTGGCCGGATGATAAATTTAGAGGCTGAGCGCTCTGCTCTGATTCGTCTATGCGAGCCCCCGGGCTCCGCTCTTGCCGCAGCATGTAGACAAGGCTATGAGAAGGGGAGGGGCTACGGGACGAGCAGGGGGAGGTTTCTGAAGCAAAGAAAACCTCCGTGGATGCAGGTGGCGGCGAGGAAGCCAGGGGAACGACCTTTTCTGATCGATTAGTGACAAAGCGAATCACCGTTTGTCCCTCCTCCCCTCGTTCACCCCATCGCTGCTTCTCGACTTTGATTGGACGCAGCAGCGGAGGCGGGCTTTGGAGGGAACTGACTGTGAATGACGAGTACAGACCAGAGTGGAGATACTCATTCCTGCAGGCGGGGCTTCTCAGCGATGACAGCGACAGCTTCGGAGACTCCTCCCCCTCGCCGCAATCTGACTCCACCTCCTGCAACATGACGCCCCCTGCAACGTGACCCCCATCCCGACCGAGCTCCACCGCTTGGGGATCCATCTTCAGAATATCAGGGAACGAGACAAACTTATATACAAACTTCTGGCCAATCACTTTCTTTATGATGTTCTGCAAAAGAAAGAGGATGATTACTATACCTCTAATGGCAATTTGGAACTACTTGACAATTTGACGAATTTGTACAATCTCAGGTGTACGGTTTAGTACGATCTGCTTAAGCCCCACTGACGATTAGGTTTAGGGGTGGACCTTCACGCTTACATTTTATTTAAACAAAAAAAATCATATGTTTCCGTACAAAAATTGTTGCGTTTTCTGATGAGAATGATTATTAAATATGAGCTTGTGTAACCTTGTCATAGTAGTAGCGTAGTGCTCGGCTAAGTTTGTCGTAGTTCATGTTGGTCTTATTCTTGCGTAGGCCCCAGAGTTTGGCGACTTCTTCCGATTTGAGCAGCTTGAACTCGCCGTCGTTGGACGTCCAGCAAATCAGGTGCTTATGGCTCTGGTCCAGCAGTAGCTGTAGCAGAAACTGCCACAGCGTGATAGCACTCTCCATATCTGTCAGAGAAAACATCAACAGTATATTTACAATTTAATAATCATAATCAGGCTGATATTTTTTTCCAGAACCTAGTTAAAGGGGTCCTATTATGCTTTTTCACTTTTTCAACTTTAGTTGGTCTGTAATGTTGCTGTTTGAGCATGAAAGAGAGCATAATAGGACCCCTTTAAATGGTTCTTTTAAGAACTGTTCATTGAAAGGTTCATTTGGAGCCAAAAATGGAGTGTAGAGTCATTACACCGATTCAAATTGTAAGTTTGATAATAAAGTCTAATAAAGGTTCTTTATTGGCATCAATGGTTCCAGGAAGAACCTTTAACATCCATAGAACCTTTTTAATGCGCAAGCTTCTTTTGATTGTTAAATGTTCTTCACACTAAGAAAAAAAAAATGGTTCTTTTAAGATCTTTTAAGGAAAGTTTCCATAGATGTAAAAGGTTATTTATGGAACCATCAGTGCCAATAAAGAACATTTGTTGCTGTTTTGTAACAAAGCTGTTGTTTCTTGTACGGATTTAAAAAGTGTGTATCGTTGTAACTGAGGTGAGAGTGTGGCGTAATTTCATAAGAGTTTCAATCTAATTTAAATTAGCCAAATTTACACTCTCTGTGCGTTGTTTATTGGGCAAGAAAAGGAGGCTTGAGGACACATTTAATGACCCTAACAAGGTTTAAGGATCTGAAGGAGGGTGCTATGGTATGTGTCTGTGGATAAGCTCGGACCGGCACCTTGTTTCAATTGATCAGATAGTCAGACATCCTTCCCAGTGTGACTGCATTTGTAAAAACCTTCCTTTAACCATATCCATGCAGGTTTCGAACAGGGAGTGGTGAAGAGGGAGAGGCCAGAGCAACAGTCGTACAAACACGACCACATTAAAGAATTCTGCGTTCGTGCTCCTGAATTCATCCTCTCTCTTTAATTTCCCCTTTTCCCTCTGCACTCACAAAAAACGTCATTCCTATGTGCCCTCCCACAAACTCTGCAAGCATTTCCTGTTCTGTTGTACATTAACGCACAGGCTCATAAACAACGAAGAGCTATAAGCCAGAAAGACTGACACGGGAATGAATCGCAAATAAGCAACATGTTCCAACATCGACCGTGCCGCTGTCCTCTCTGGGACGGAGGTGTCCGCTCAAAGGTGGGCAAATACACCCACTGGTGAACAGCGATTACTAACAGGGTAAACATGGAGTTTATCCGCAAGACCCTGTTTAGGAACATAGATTAGAGTGACCAGAGATAAGTGGGTTAAGGGGGGAATTCTTAAAGGTATAGGTCACCCAAAAATGAAAATTCAGTTCTGTCATTTACACTACCATTCAAATGTTTGGGGTCAGTAACATTTTTTTTTGTAAGAAATTAATGCTTTTATTCAGCAAGGATCCATTAAATGCTGTTCTTTTGAAATTTCTGTTCATCAAAGAATGGGTTCCACGAAATAAGCAGCACAACTGTTTTCAACACTGATAATAATAAGAATTGTTTCTTGAGCAACAAATCAGCATTTTAAAATGATTTCTGAAGGATTTTGAGACACTGAAAACAGGAGTAATGGCTGCTGAAAATTCAGCTTTGCATCACAGGAATAAATTACATTTTAAAATATATTAAAACAGGAAATGGTTATCTTAAATTGTAATAATATTTCACAATATTGCTGTTTTTACTGTATTTTTGATCAAATGCAGCTGTGGTGAGCATAAGAGACTTTCAAAACATAAAAAAAAAAACACCAAAGTTTTGAACTCTAGTGTATATCTGAGTTCTGTTTTATCAAAATACCAGCTGATCCAAAAATAAAAAAAGTAATTAAAAACATGTCAAGTCAAACAAGACTTCCCTTTATATTATCTGCTGCTTAATCCTTGAACATCATCAGACTTTAATACTGGCAAAATTAGTCCAACATGCACAGACACACTTAATCTTTGTACACAATGGCCGCCCATGTTGAAGATAAGTACAGTTTTTGTGAATGGGTTTCATAGCAGAAAATGGCTAAAAGTGCTCTTTATATTCTGGCGCTGTGGTTGGACACAGACAGGAAGCTGCAATCTCACAAAACAGGATGTGCACATTGATATCAGCTCACATTCCTTCAAGAAACCTTAGACATAAGCAGAGCCTTTCATTTTAAGATATTTGGACAACATGATTTGCATGATGTTAAATTGTCCTGCACAAGACATCTCGGATCATTGATAGTTAAAAAAAAATGAGTTTTTTTTTTTCAGCACACTTAGACAACAAAGTCACAGTCAATATGGATCCATTGGGTGTAAGATAAGGATTTTATAGTTAACAAGACTGAGTTCCTTCATGCATGTGGTCTGGGATTCACTCCAAAATGAAGGCGCAGTGATTCAATGTTAAAAGCCCAACAGTACAGGAAGTTTAAATCTTGCTTGGGCCATTCCTGTGACCGCTGTCGTCATGGCCTTTAGCCACACGCTTACCCTTAGTGTACTCTCATAACCTCTTCCTCTACATCCCTGGAATATTTAGGAGATATAAAAAAACGATATATCCATTACAAAACCTGTACACTTTGACCAGGGAATGCAACATGTTTTATTGAGCTTTTTTATGGCAATTTTATGTATTCAAACAACAGGCAAGTTAACCTGTTACAAGTTGAAATAAAAGTTGAAAATAAAATGCAATTTACAATTATTTAAGGAGTGTCCAACAAGGGAAAAATAACTGAAATAAGCTAAATAAATAAATATAATTTTACATATAAAATTAGAAATAAGTAGTTTCAGTACACTTACTATTAAATACTTATAATGTTGTCTCAAGTGTGGTGTTTAAGAAAAAATCTTAAAATTTAAGCAAAACATTTTTAAAAATCTTATAAAAAAATTAAATCTTTAATTAAAAAAAAAAATTTAAATGTTTAATAACTTAATTATTTATATCTTTTTAAAAATTACCATGTTCTTGTCATGAAAATCGCCTTAGATGATAACATGGTAACAAACTAACATAAAAAAATAAATAACAAAAAATTGACCAGTTGCTTAAATAAATAAATACATAAATAAACAAAGCAATATAAAATTATCATAAAAGTAATCCAATATGATCAGGTCTTCTAAGATCACATAAAAGCACCCATTTTAATATGTACATGTTTTCACTATGAAAAAGAGCAGCGTGAACATTGTTCAAAATTTCTCCTTTTGTGTTTCACAGAATAGAGTAAATCAAGCGGCTTTGGAGCGTCATGATGGTGAATGACCACAGACTTCATTTTTAAGTAAACTATCCCTTTAAGACACATGCATATACTTAATATATTGTAGCACAGAGTTTCAGCTTATTTCCAGTGGATATCGAGTGTACAAAACTGACTGAAGTTGAGGAGATGGTGTTGAGTGTTGGGATGCAGGACAGCAGGAAGGTCTGGGTGGAGGAACGCAATGGACCTCAGGTTGAGGTCTGAGAGGTGTTCAATAGACATGAGGAAACCAGTTTGACTCAAATTCAAAGCTGTCAAATGTGTGTGTGTGTTTGAACACACTCCTCAGTTTTAACTAGCGTTACATCATGCCCTTTGGTAACTGTAAGTCAGTCAAACAGGGCGGGCTGGCTGGTGTTTACTGCTGCCTGAGCCAGCGCTCTCCCGAGACGGATGGAGGGAATGAACGAGACGGAGAGTGGTAGATGGAGAAACGAGGCTGGCTGACTCACTAGTGTGGATAGCTCTGACACGGAGCATGTTTTATTGGCTGAGAGGAACTCCCTGGTTGCAGACTGCCTTATTTTGGGAAAGTCTTTGTCATAATTTTGACAAAGACACACAAGCTTAAACTTTCACCCTGGTTTTCGCTCATCAAACTGCCGGCTCTGGAAGTCATCGAGGGATTGATCGAATAATGAGCCTAAAGAAGCAAACGACCCCAAAGTCCAACAGGACAGGCTAAAATCAAACCTAAAACACTTGAAGTCAAATAAAACACTTGAAAAATGGTTGAAAATTTGTAAATATTAAAAAAACCATAACAAAATAAAGTTTTATTACATTTTAATGTAGAGTGTGATGTTTTTTAATAAAAAGCTTTCAGCAACTGGATTGTTAAAAACGTTTGGAAATATTATTAAAAAAAATTTAAATTAAAATGTATTACATTTTAATGTAGTAATGTGACATTTGCACATTAAAACGCTTCATTTTATCCATCAGAAATCAACTGAATTGTAAAAAAAAAAAAAAAAAGGGGTTGGAAAAAAAATTTTTTATTATAATTTTTTTTAATCCTGTGGCAATAACAAGTTTCGATATTCATGACACAAAATATGTACTCTAATTCTTTCTGGTTGCAGACTGCCTTATTTTGGGAAAGTCTTTGTCATAATTTTGACAAAGACACACAAGCTTAAACTTTCACCCTGGTTATCGCTCATCAAACTGCCGGCTCTGGAAGTCATCGAGGGATTGATCGAATAATGAGCCTAAAGAAGCAAACGACCCCAAAGTCCAACAGGACAGGCTAAAATCAAACCTAAAACACTTGAAGTCAAAATGAAATGGCGTTCGCGACCCATTGTGCTTCTGTAATGTGATGTCTTTCCAAATAATGTCATTGGGAATCAGTAGGAATATAAATATAAATGATATAAATATATGATATATATATATATAGTAAATATTTTAAGAAAATAAGTAAAGTTTTATTATATTTTGATGAAAGATTATGCTTATTTTTTCACATTGGAATAACAATCAGTGGATAATTCCTGAAAACCTAGAACATGTATCAAGAAAGTAAATTTGGTTTTGATTTTGTATTGACATTCTGCTTTATAATTTGGTGTGCAAGACTTTTATTTTTGTCTTTTCAGATGTTTTGGTTGGAATATCAGCCAGAGGGAGTGTAAAGAGACACAAACAGCAAGATTCGGCCAAACCTGTGGTGACAAAGGAGGAAGTGCTTGGAAAATGCTGCCAATACAGGCTACAGATACAGTGCCGTGAAAAGGTTTTTGCCCCCTTCCTGTTTTTTTGATTGTTTGCATATTTGTCACATCATTATACATACTCAAATAGCAATTTACAGTTAGATCTCAAACTTAACTCTTGGGCAGAACGTGAAAGCTCACTGTACACCACATACCCAGTTATTTTTCCCAAACCCCCAAAGAAGCGAAATAAAACCATTTCCTGCTCCAGCATCCTCTGAGCGGAGCATCTGCGTTAAACGACCGTAAAACTGTCTATATCAGGACTTCCTCCAATTCTCCTTTGAAAGGCGTCTTCCTGGGAATGCCGATCCCGAACTGAAAGGTAGGAATTCCTGCTGCGGAAAGCAAACACGGGAACGCGAGGACCACACGGCACAAATGGGCGGTTTCCTCTTCTCTTTTCATGCCGGCACAAACCTCTCGCCCATATGGACGTCTAAAGACAGACATGTTGTATGTGACACCATGATCAACGCACTCATTGATTCCTAGATTTACTGCCCTGATCAAAAGGAATAAACAGAGGGAGATGATTTCAAAAGCTCTTGGCCATTTGGAGAGGTTTCTGCACGGAACGTGGCTGTAAAAGTCATTGTTGGATTATCGCAAGAGAGGAAAATGGAAAACAATCTGCACATGCAAAGTCACTTTTTTTATCTTTCTATATGAGCAATGACATAACAGTGCAGAAGCCAAGTCTGAATCCTTAGCCAGGATTTTCTAAGACACACAAATAAATAATAGACTAAACAAAAAGACACACTTGAACATAGCGCTGCATTGGCTCTGTGGTTCTGCTGTTGTCTGGCATGCATCAGCTTCATGGTCATTGGGTTTAAAGATGGTTTAACACACTGCATGAAATTTGGGATGAAATAAATGGATCATCCATAGTTTTTACAGTTAGTTGATGAGGCATCAGTAGGTCCACAGGGATTCTGTCTCTCAACATCCGCTTGTCAATCAATCATGTTTGATTATTAAATATTTAAACAGTAAGAATAGTACTTTTTGGGTCTGTTTAACCATGTTTTTTCCCCAAATAGATACAGATGCCACAGATACCATCTAAGCCTAAGCATCAGTAAGAAAACACACTGTTTTACCACTTTAAATGCTTATTTGCCACAGAAAAACTCTCGATTTCTGACATTGTTGTAGAAAATACACACACAAAAAATATTGTGTTGTGAAGTAAAAACAGCAGAAAAGATTTACTATTTTCTCTAATAAATTATCTGAACTTTAAAATCTACTCAAATACTTATTTCCTTGATTTATTTATAAAGGTGTCTCATATTCATTAGTTAGTTCACCCCAAACAAAAATAACGACTTTATTCCACATTTTCGTCTCTACTGCGTCACTTTGGACGCGCGTTCACGACAGTACCATGATGCTAGCGTGTGGCAGCGCTGACCCAGATCCGGCGTAATGACGTCATGCGCAAAAAAGTATTCTCGTAGCTTCGTTACAGTTGAACCACTGATGTCACACGGACTACTTTGTCGATCATCTTGGTACTTTTCTGGACCTTGAACGTGGTAGTTACCTTGCTGTCTATGGGAGGGTCAGAGAGCCCTCAGATTTAATCAAGAATATCTTAAATTGTGTTCCAAAGATGAACGAAGGTCTTACGGGTTTGGAACAACACGAGGGTGAGTAATTAATGACAGAATTTTCATTTTTGGGTGAACTAACCCTTTAAGGTCATGTTTTTGCATTGTTTGCCTGTTTTATTTGCACGTTTGTTAATTTTGCTGTTGTATTCAAGTTCAGTAACTTGCTTTGCATTTTGAGTTAATTTTCTACTGCTCAAAAATTATCCACCATAATTGTGTTTCGTGTACCATTTCAACATTTCGTTGAATGTTATTTAGTTTTATTATTTTAAATACAACTACAATAGCAAGTTGCTGATATATTTGAATTTTAATATTATTTTGCAAAGTAGATTTTACTTAATTTTATACGGTCAACATTTTTTTTTTCTCTGATCACCATAGGTTAGAAATGCATCGAGCAATCTTCTTTTTCTAACACCACAGATCATTTACTTTTTACAGCACTGAAGTTTCGGAACACTTGAAACTGTATTGGAACTTGTTTTCAAAAAATGCCAATGGAAAACACCAAGAAAACCCGCACACCATGAAATCTATCCAACCCATTTAACCATACAGGAAGTAGACAGGAGGAACATGCCTGTAGACACAGAAACAGACAACAGCTCAGTCTGTCAGTGGCTTAACAGGCAACATATACTGTCTGATAAGGCTGTTTTTTAAAGTTTCACACATTGCCGGTATTGTGTGTGTAAAAGGGGAAAGAGGAAGATCTTTCAGGTGAGAAGATGCACTCCAGGCTCTCTCCAGCATAAAGTGACACACTCACACCCTTCAAGACTCACACAACAGACACGCAGGGACAGTTTGGACCCAAAACCCCAAGCCCAGTGTTTTGAATGGCCCCTAGACAGCTTTTAAACACCAAACTTGCCGTCGCGCTCACAAACCCCTCCACTGTAGCGCCAGCGGAAACTCGTAATGAGATTAGTTGCTGTGCGCAGACATTACTTCGCCATGACTAAATGTGTGCTCTTCCTGTGCACACAGACTGCAGTGGAAAATTGAGGGAGCTCCTGCTGAAGAGAGGGAGAAAAGAGAGCCGTGAAGGACTTCTCTCCACGACCACATTTCTCCAGAGAGAGCTGCAGCTCTTGAAACTACACAGACAGATCTGAGAACGTCTGGCTGCTTGTCTGTGTCCATATAGTGGCTTCAGAAAGAGTGTGGACACTTGAGAATGTCATTGCTTTTAATAGCAAACTATCAAAAAGAGTTTAGAAAATATTCCTTATACTTTAAACTAGATTTTGGACTGCTTGCAATAAACTTTTTTTAATCTAATTGGCTGTTTGATCGAAATGACGGTTCCTCTTTTAAAAAATTTCAGGGCAAGTACAGAAATATTATGGTAAAAAATGCTGAAATTATAGTCAAAAGGGGTTTGGAAAGCATTCCTTGAATACATTAAACTAGATTTGACTGGATTTTACTTCTTGCATTAAACTGTTGGATCTAATTGGCTGTTTGATCAAAATGATGGTTCCTCTTTTAAACCATTTCATGGAAAATACAGTCAATAAAGGATAAAAATACTGAAATAGCAATATAATAATCCTACTAATCACCTTTGATTGAATATTTGTTTTACCATTTTTTAAAAATGCCTTTTGCTTGAAATAATGTCTATGTAATACGCCAAAACCTGCATAATTGCAAATCTATCCAACCCATCTAACCATACAGGAAGTAGATAGGAGGAACGTGACTCCAAAACAGAAGGAAACGGCATCCAAAGTGGCATTAGATTTAAAGAAAGACGGCACAAGCACACTTTCAAAGCAAAACATCTCATTTCAAATGATAATACAATAGTTTAAATTGAAGACCAACAGTATGTGGATGCTTTCTGGTTGTCATAGTTGAACATGAACTTGACAAACTGCACCTGGTTACTATGCTAGGACACCTGTGGTGAATTTAGGGACATCTTGGGTTAGATCTGAGGTGACTCTAGCATCATCTGAAGTCCCTAAATGTGTGATTTACAGTAACTCTCCAAATATATTTTGGGCTCAGAAACATTGATATTTTCCAATCATGATAAATAATCCCCAGCATATCCAGATGCAGGGGTAACATCAGCTCTAGGGCTGAACTGAAGTTTCTTTGTTTGCCACAATGACTCATTTTCAAGATGCTGTCTGCTGCCAGTTTCAATCCGGAAGCGCATGGCAATTAGTCTGCTGATGTTTCCAGACAAACCAGAAACTCTACTTAGTGCGTTTAAAGCGCCAGGAGCCAAATTCCAGCCTTTTCTAGCAGCCCTGCTTTCAAATGTACAACCAACAAAATCTTTGAAATATACATCACGAAATCGTGAGCTCAAACTTTCCTCAGCCGTACGTAAAAGGTGCCTAAACTGCGCGTAAGTAACGGGAACTGTGGACATTTGAAGTCTCTTGCGTGTCTGTTATTGCTAAAAGAGATCTATTCGTTTTTATACATTAATTACTTTATAGTTGTATACATTTAAATCTCAAACATCACTTCTGAACATTTCAAACAGCTCCTTCGTTTGGATAGGTTCATTCTTTTTGGGGGATATCAAGTTTCGGTCGTGTACTTTGGAAGCTTTCTTCCTTTTAATGTTATTATGAAGTAATTACACATTTAAAAACATGTATAAAGCGTTCAGATAGTATGGATGGATTATTCACATACCTGTGCGTAATGGTCAGGCTTTTTGGGGTCCTTTTTCACGTTATTAAAAAGAATTCCGTATAATGCGCTGTTTTTCCATGCTGTCGGCCGTCTCGGCAGCTCTCAGTCGGACTGTAATGGGATCCCGACTGTTTTCGCTCTCTCTTTCTCTCTCTCTCTCTGAGCAGGAAGTTGGTGCAGACAGCGAGCCGGCTCACTTCCTCTCGCCGTGCGCTATTCCCCAGACGCTCGGCCCGTCTGTGTAAACAAGCTTTTCCTTCTCCAGCCACCATCCGACATTCAAGAACACTAGCACACACGCGCGCACACGCTGTATACTGTAACCTGTAACTGTAATCTGCTGCGAGCGGAGCACACTGACGTCACCCTCTTCCTGCCCGGGACCCGCCGGGAGGAGCCCGTGTCCCTTCCTCTACACACGTTTCGTATGTGTGTGTGTGTGTTTGGGGAATAAATAGGTCATTGTTGAAATTTTAAACAATCTGTTAGACAAATAATGTGTTGTAATGCATTGTGGCATGTAGCTTTTAGGTTGTTTTGCACTTTTTTGCATATATTTTGTATTAAATTAATCAACTAACCAATCAATACTCGTCAAATATGCTTTACTGGCATGTCAAAAGGCTGACATTTGCAATGCAACATGATATGCAATACAAGTAACAGCAGTGCAAATATATTAACATCAAATGCCTCTCAAATTTAAAACAAAAAGTATATCTATATATCTCTGTACAACAAATAAATCTCTGTTTTAGTAAATGAGTGCCATGGGGCTCCACAGGGGGTGGAACCATCTTCCGATTTCCTGGAGGGATATCCACTGAATGGCTGATATTAATGAATAGGCCTGAGTCTGTCCACCTGAGATGTTCACACACTGATGTTTTAAAGGCATAGTAAGTGATTTTTCAAAAACACTTTATAAAACTGATTCGGGCCGAATCGCAAAACAAACTTCACACACACACACACACACACACATCCTCTTCTTATCCTCTTCTTTAAATTCTCCCTTTAGCACGAATCTGTTGTGCTTTTGATTTAACTTATGTTGTATATGTAATAACTGAATGGCTGATATTAATGAATAGGCCTGAGTCTGTCCACCTGAGATGTTCACACACTGATGTTTTAAGGGGCATATGAAAACAATTATGATCTCAGCAATGACCCTGTATTTAACATGTCTGTTCATTCTCTGTCATCTAGTGGAGGAAGAAGACATTACAACGCCTATGAATCTTTAAACGTTATGTTGAAATAATAATAATAATAATAAAATATAATTTTATAAATGATATTATGATATGGAAATCATATTTTTCATTATAAAGGTTAAACCTGTTGTAAGATTTTAGTTTTTTTCATTGTGACATTAATATAATGAATGTAATACCTTTTTGTTGAAAATGTTTTTCTTTTCTTTAAAAAAAAATAAAAAAATAAGTAAATAAATCAGCATGAACATAAAGCCAGAAAAAACACCATTTTGCATAAATGCGTTGAAGTTTAAATATTATATGATTTAATTTTAACATTATTTTATTACATTACAATCATGAGAGTATGTGCATAACAACAATGCTACAATGTCACAATGCAAAAATCTTAATGGTTTAATTCTTTATTTTTTTCTTAGCTAAATTGTATGTATTTCCAGGTCTTATTTTACGGTTAAAAATGTATCCACCATACTTGTATGGTGAAACAGCAATGACCCTGTATTTAACATGTCTGTTCATTCTCTGTCATCTAGTGGAGGAAGAAGACATTACAACGCCTATGAATCTTTTTTCATTGTGACATTAATATAATTAATGTAATACCTTTTTGTTGAAAATGTTTTTCTTTTCTTTAAAAAAAAATAAAAAAATAAGTAAATAAATCAGCATGAACATAAAGCCAGAAAAAACACCATTTTGCATAAATGCGTTGAAGTTTAAATATTATATGATTTAATTTTAACATTATTTTATTACATTACAATCATGAGAGTATGTGCATAACAACAATGCTACAATGTCACAATGCAAAAATCTTAATGGTTTAATTCTTTATTTTTTTCTTAGCTAAATTGTATGTATTTCCAGGTCTTATTTTACGGTTAAAAATGTATCCACCATACTTGTATGGTGAAAACGGGTATGAAGGTTTTTTTTTTTTTTTTTTTGGGTTGTAACGAACACCCTCAGCCATTAGAGGACAGTAATTAATCGTTCTCACAGAGAAGAAAGAAAAACTACAACTCCCATGATGCTGTTCTCCCGGCCGGCGTCACGTGACTGCGTGTGGGTTATTTTTTTTTTAGGTTGTACGAACACCCTCAGCCATTAGAGGACAGTAATTTATCGTTCTCACAGAGAAGAAAGAAAAACTACAACTCCCACGATGCTGTTCTCCCGGCCGGCGTCACGTGACTGCGTGTGGGTTAAAATGCATTCGCAGCGCGAGCAGTCGAGTGTTCTCTGTCTCAACCATGACTCCTGTGTTGGACCCCAGCTCTTTCTCCTCTGTCTCCAAGTGCGCTACCAAGCACTTAAATCTCATTTACCATGTTGAATTTGACAGGCGCGTGCTCAAAGGGAAAGTCGCCCTGACTGTGGAAGTTCTGGAGGATAAATTATCTTCTCTGGTACAGTTTTCATTTGATCCATCAAAGCTGTCATTGTGTTTGCTTGACTTAATCACTTCACCTCACATACACATCTATGTGTGAGTAAGATGCAATGTGCTGTATGCTTTCACTTTGCAATTATTGCTTTAATTCATTTTAATTAAGTGCTAGTATCTAATGGATTGTTTCTCGAAAGGATCGCTACTAAATTAGTAGCTAATACTATTAATTTAAATATAGATACTAGTTATTTAGCGATACGTGTAAATTATGCTCTTGAAATCTTGATACAGTAACAGTAGTTTCAGCAGGACTGGGTTACATATTTACTTGAACTTGATACAGTAATTATATCCGCAACGTAACCTGATGATGACTTGTCAGTGCATTCAAAGTGTTGTTTATTAATTTGATACATGTATTCAACCATCATCTTTCTGCAAGTGCATGTGCGTATGCTTTTCTTGTCATATTGGAGATTAAGTCAAATGCATCTCATCATTAATGAGGTTTATTAGTCACGTACTGTGTTCTTGTTTTACTGCACTTGACCTGAACTTTGATTTCAGGAGCTGCCAGATCACACTGATAGATTTTTTTTTTTACCTGAGCTTGTCAGAAGACTTCAGATAAATCTAAACTTGCATAACTGCAATGGATTTGGCATTTCAGAAGTGTGCAGTGGAAACAAATATGCCAAAAACTGAATTCCATGAATAGTTTTGACAAGATGTGACATGAACGATCTGATGTGTAAGTCACGTCTAATTAAAGGGTTAGTTCACCCAAAAATGAAAATTAGGCCATAAATTACTCGCCCTCAAGGCATCCTAGGTGTATACGACTTTCTTCTTTCAGACGAATCCAGTCGGAGTTATATTACAAATTGTCTTTGATCTTTCAAGCTGTTTAATGGCACTCAGCAGGTGTCGCAGTGGTTCAGTCCAAAAGAAGTGAAATAAAAAGCACCCATCCATAAAAAAGTGCCTCACACGGCTCCGGGGGGTGAACAAAGGCCTCCTGTAGCGAATCGATGCGTTTTTGTAAGAAAAATATCCATATTCAAAACGTAATAATCACTTTAATGTAGC